GGTGTATAATTTGGAGGGCAGTTTAAACCAGTCCATACCAGATGTACACAACATGTCCTGAGGTACGCAGCGGGTTTAACACTAGATGTTATATTTACAGGCATTGTCTTCATATTCCCTTTGGCATGTAAGTTACATTTAATGAATTCCCTTTAGTGCTATTTGGCAAATAAAACTCAGTTCTTCCAGAAAATGTTTCACTTTTTGTAACCTTAGCGCAGGAGGAAGTCGAGCTTGTGCCACGATTAATTTGTCTTACTAATGTACTTCTGTTGAAAACGGCTTTGAAGACAATGCCTTCATTGTTTTTGCTGTAAGATTTCCTCAGGATATCAGCGTTGGTTTCACTGTACGCACAACCCGAGCAGCTTATGGATCAGAGAGAGCCTTTGAGAGAAGGAGTGAGTGACAGAGGGCAGCAGGGAAGAAAGAAAGGAGCGAATGAGTGTTCTGGCTTCTTGACCCCTTAGCATAAGAAGTCTTCGGAGTTCAAACTCCAGTGATTACAAGCTGAGCTGGTATTTAAAGTGGCCTTACTCCCCCCAATTGCCCTACTCACCCCATTTCCCCCCCTCTCCTCTTTACTTCTCCTTCCCCCCCATTCACTGCAGAGTCGTGTGAGCTGTGACAATGTCTACGACCTTAATATAAAAGTATATACCACGTGAACCTGTGTGTGATTGTGTGTGGTGTGTGTGGTGTGTGTGTGGTGTGTGTGTGTGTGTGTGTGTGTGTGTGTGTGTGTGTGTGTGTGTGTGTGTGTGTGGTGTGTGTGTGTTGTGTGTGTGTGTGTGTGTGGGTGTGTTGTGTGGGTGTGTGGTGTGTGTGTGTGTGGGTGGGTGGGTTGTGTGTGTGTGTGTGTGTGTGTGTGGTTGGGAGTGTGTGCGTGTGCGTGTGGGTGGTTGGTTGTGTGTGTGTGTGGTTGTGTGTGTGTGTGTGATGTGTGTGTGTGTGTGTGTGTGTGTGTGTGTGATGTGTGTGTGTGTGTGTGTGTGTGTGTGTGTGTGTGTGTGTGTGTGTGTGTGTGTGTGTGTGTGTGTGTGTGTGTGTGTGATGTGTGTGTGTGTGTGTGTGGGTGTGTGTGTGTGTGTGTAGGGGGTTTAGTCGAGTAGGTGGGCAGGGTCAGGGGTTGCTTGGTGGGGTTCTGGAGCCAGTGGGCCTTCTCCATTGTTCAGGAGGAGCTAAAGGGGGGCAACGAGTATTGATGCCGAAGGTATTGCCTTCTGACGGTAGGGGGTTAGCAATAAGTGTGTGTGTGTGTGTGTCTGAATGTGTGTGTCTATATGTGTGTATGTGGACCTTTGCTCCAGGAGGGACCCACAAGGGGCGGGAAAGGGAAAGTAATTACAGATGATATAGGACCAAAGGGAGGAAATTGATTAAAGAAAATGGGTGACCAGGAAGTGAGCGGGGATCTGTTTCCTCTTCAATTAAACTGAAATGTTTCAGTGGTCCCTCTCTTTGGGGAGAGAGTGTGGGGGATCTTTCTGGAAGAGGGGAGGTGATAATGATGGATGGACGGACTCGTCACCCATGATAGCCTCCATATGCCACTATAGTCACTGTATCCATCTGATTAAAGGACGTTAGCCGCCTGCAGTTCGTAAGATGATGGATTAAAGGATCATATTCATAGTCCTATACATCAATGAAGTAAGCATTAGTTAAAGGTCTGTGTCTCGTTTCCTCAATAAAATGTCTAGAATCTACTCGACCTTTGTTAAACTTTTGTTGTGTTGTGTACTTTTACAATAACCTTGTAAGATCTTGGTCTCTTTTAAGAATATATTCAGCTCACGGCACCCTTTGTCCGACAAACTGATTTGGAGAAACACACATTTTAACGGGAAAATTCTTTATTCAATGTGTTTTTACCAGGTCCACTTCGGAGAGGAGAGGACCTCCTGAATGATTAACATCAAAGGAAAGCAGGAGAAACTGAACGGCAAAGATGGCAATGGTGGTGAAGACAACAAATCTCATGATCCCACGCTACTTCATTACGTCACTTAATATCTTTATTCATTGTTTTGAGACTCCTGGTGGAAGAAAATGACATATTGTTTGTTGTTTTACAGCTGTGTGATCATATGTGTAGAGGTGTACAGTAGGGACATTAAATCCTGCTCTCAAGACCTGGACCGTCACCCTTATCTGGACCAACACTTATCACTGTTACTGTGCTGACGAGCCTGTTTTATATTCCCTCAAGCACTTTAACCTCCTCCTCATGTGGTGTAATTAAGATTTAACATTCATGTATGTTTGTTAGGAGGGGATTAGTCATCCCGCTCCAAATCCTTGTGGTTGTTTGGTTTCTTTAAGAGCTCCCTTAGAGAGCATAGCCTTTCCCGCCACATACAACTGACTGAATATTCTTTGACTGAATAGCTATTAGTAAACAGAAGATGATTGCAAATGTGGCGACTTTACCCCATTGAATTGTTGATGGGTCTACAAGTCTTCAGGTTAGCTCAAATAATTTTGCGCATTATAACAGAGAATAAGATCAATCGACAAAACTATAAAACCAACGATGTAACAAACCAGTATTGTTCTCATCAGATTCTGTGATGATATCTTTTCATGTAAACTCCCTATACACCCCATTTACATAACATTATATTTAGCTTATCAGGATCAACATGTTCATTATAAATTAAAGTTATACATAGTTGGAATAAGTTGGAAACTGTCCGGCAAGAAATACATCTTATTTCCTGTATTTTTTTAATTCAAATGAATTGGAAAAAAATGTGCAGATTCGAAAGGCTGTGGTTAACATATTTCTAAATTAAGTTTTCATTTCACATTCGATTCATATCTCTCTCTCTCTCTCTCTCTCTCTCTCTCTCTCTCTCTCTCTCTCTCTCTCTCTCTCTCTCTCTCTCTCTCTCTCTCTCCTATACTGTTGCTTCTCTGTTTCTTGCTTGGCAAATGTGAGTATACAGTATGAATAGATTTACAAGGCCAAGGGAGAAATAACAGTGGCGTTGGTGGTGTGTGGGATGTGCGTGTGTGTGTGTGTGTGTGTGTGAGGGGGGGGGGTGGTAAAGAAAGAGAAAACAGGTTGTCAGTGTGGTTGAACAGCAAAATAGCATTTTCTCCCTCGGGCTCAGCCTCCACAGATGTTTCATTCAGGCCCCATGGCAGGGCCACTCTAAAAAGTGCTCCAGTCCCGACACAATTCAGCCCCTTTGTGCGCTGAAGGAGAGAAGCTCAGCCCACTGTTTACTGCTCGTCCACCCCCCCATCCCCCTTGTCTAACCCCCCTCCTCATGTTAGCAGGCGGAACAATTGGGGAGGGCCTTGCCCAGAGCCGGGGCGGTGTGGCAGGTCAACAGAATGGGCTGTGAATCCTGTGCCTCTGAATCCTCCGGGTGGGTGGTCCAGCTCTCTCCCCTCGCTGTGTCTCTCTCACACACATAGGAACACACTCCTCTCTCCTCTCCTCTCCTCCTCCTTAAATGATGTTGAGTGAGACCAACTTTGTGATTATGTGCTGTAAGAAAAAGTGTAGTTTAAACAATGTATATGAACTTGATTCCTCTATTGAATATGATTTTGCATTTGGCTATACTTAAAGATACAAAAACTACTCCTACTTTTGTCTTCAATTAATTATATATGTGGTCTGTATCTTTTGATGAAAATACAGCAGCTCTGCCTGAATTTGGTCCCACATTTTTACCAAACAATATTACTTACGCATAGCCTCCCTTCTCTTCTCCTCTCCTCTCCTCTCCTCTCCTCTCCTCTCCTCTCCTCTCCTCTCAGTGATTAGCTCATCCACAGAGCCCTGGTGCCTGGGCCCTGTGATGTGGTGATAGGTGGCCCACAGAGGGTCTTTCTTCAGGATTAGCAGGACTCCCAGTCCCCTCGTCACTGTGATCCGGTCCCGGACAGACCCGCAGGCCGGTGGGCAGGAGGGGCCTGCGGGGGACCACGTGGAGCCTGCCAGTGACTGGGTGGCAGTTAACACTAATCCTGCTGCAGATTACCACTGGCATGGGGAAATAAACAGTAATAAATGTAGCTACAAGGCTGAGCACACATACACCCTCACAACAACTCCACCCACACAAGACAAGTAATGCTGACACACACACCTTTGCTGTTTGAAACATGCAAAAAGGTGGCAACATTACAGAAAATAGCACTATTCTTGTTAAAAAAAAAAAAATGGGAAATGGTGAAAAAGTATTCAGATCGTGTGTTCTTTTAAACCAACAGTCCAAAACACAAAGATATACATTACAGATAACGAAAAGCATCAAATCCTTGATGATCATCCAGTGAACAAAGGGCATTGTTGCTTCATAAATAAGTCATTATGTTTTTGTTTAAATGTTGATCGCTGCATCACAAACTTCTTCTTACTATCATAACTTACCAACAGACCCCAAAACGTACTACTATGTCTTCTATTGCTTCAATAATATCATCATTGTTCTTCATAATAATAACAAAATAAGAAATGCAATACATCTGAAATACATGATGCCTATATATTGTAAAGCTTTTATACCTGATTTATTAGTCAGTAATAGAAAGGAAACAGATTTAGGTGAGTTAAAGTTACCTTCTGGAAAAAAAGATGGCAACTGTCTACAACCCATCTGGCGTCTTTCCCTTTAGTCACAGCGACATCTAGTGAGCAGATCTGGAAAAGAAAACAGTACTGACAACAATGGAAACATTGCACCAAGCATAATATTATGCAACACCATAAGTTTCTCAAGAAAAAGACATACTGTTGGGTGTTACAGCTTAGTAATGTATTGCTTAAAGGACATCAATTAAAACGTAAATTGATTATTTAATGCTTTAAACACACACTATCTGGTCCTATAGGTTTAACCACAGGCACAAGTACGCCATACTCTTCAAAAAAGGAAGTAACTTTAGATACAGAGTGGATACATATCTGCTACCTCACTTTGTTCTGCAGTGAGAGGATAGTCTTAGGCAAGATACCGGCAGTAAGTTTCCTCTCACTTTAATCATTTGAGCAACAGGGTTCCTGCTGTGGTCAGAGATGTTGATCCTCTTTTTTGGTTCCTTTAGATGCATGCAGCGTTGAGGAAGGAAAGCAGCGTATAAAAGCATCACCTCTGGGCTTTATTAATTCATACTGTAAATATAGAAATCTATACCTTTCCCACCTGCTGCTGTCATCAAACAGACTTATAATGCCATCGCTCAGGCTATTCTTCTATATCATGGGTAAGACTCTTTATTTGTTTACACGTTTAATTGAAATGCAGCTGATAACACTGTATTATTCATTGGTTTTATGACTAATAATGTTAAGATCTGTTTTCAAGTACTTGGTTTCGTTCAAAACCCTGTACCTCAAATACAGCATGTTGTCTTAGTCTGGCTACAGGTAATTTATAGTACATGGCGAGATGCAATTACATATTTATATATATGCTTTTTTGTATTAAATAATTATGCTAAAAGATAAAGGAAAGATCTCAGAGTGTAATAGTTAATATCATAAGTCAAGCATGACCACACCTTAAAATACAGTACCTAAATAACTGGTTCCCTTTAAGGCTTACAGTTAACAGAAGTGTGTGTGTTGCAAAGTAAGCCGATGCTTTAAATCAGCAAGGAAACTACTCTGCAGTAGAGTTTGTTTTGTGTGATCAAATATATTGTATGTATGCAAAAACACAACAAAAACACAAAATGTACTGTTAAGGTTGTTTAATATGAACTTGTTTGCAATGTTTTATATTTAAATTCGTTTTTTTTCAGATTCAGATTACTTTGTTGTCTATTACATTTATAAAAGTATATTTTTTTATTTAGCAACAGAAAATAAAACAACATTCATGTACAGCACAACATACAGTTGAGACAAAATAAACGAAATCAAAATATAATGTCAGTCAGTTGTAATAAAAATGTATATGGTAATATAAATTAAATGAGGTGAAGGTGATGGTGGCTGTGTTCAGTTGTTAGTTTTGAAATGACTGTATGCTTTCCTACAGGTTTGGTTGTGGCTTCTGTCACAGCAGAGGGGACATCAACAATCCCAGGGTTGGTTGTGGCTTCTGTCACAGCAGAGGAGACATCAACAATCCCAGGGTTGGTTGTGGCTTCTGTCACAGCAGAGGAGACAGCAACAATCCCAGGGTTGTCCACAGATTCAGCAGACACAACCAATAACTATTCCACTTCTGTAAAACCCCTCAACACCACCAGTACCACCAATATGACCCTAGCAAACACTACCGAAAATAACACCGCCACCACCACCACCTACAACACCGTCACAACCAACAACACCACTATCGCCCCGACCACCAGTAACAGCACCGAGGTCCCCGGCACCATGACGCCCTCAACAATGAAAGGTGAGAGTTGTTATCTGAACTCTTAACAAATATCTTCCTTTACTAGCTGCTACATACAGTGATGAATGCATCAATAATTATAATGCTAAAATGTATGTTATTCAGTTGTTTTACTGTTGGTACTAAACGTTTTTTGTTGAAGCTCATACTATTTTTAAGTAACTAAAAAGTACTAAAGTAAATAATAACTTATTTCTTAACTACAATTTGACAACATAATTTCAGCTGCACATTACTACTACTTTCACTTAAAGGTGGGGTAGGTAATTTTGGAGAAACCAGCTCGAGTGCGCTAGAATTTGAAAATACACAGCCGGAACAAATCTGCCACTTCCTTACAGAGCCCCTCCTCCAACACACACGAACGCGCACATGACCAATGAGGGCACGAGATAAGTTTGTGCACAGATGGAAGGCTGACAGGCAGGTAGGCCATCCAGTTACTTTAGCCGGGCCGGCTAAAGTGATTGGTCGTGCTTTTTACAGTACTACGGCTTCCACAGATGACATTTCTTTATGGATTTTTTGTCAAAGCACTAAAGATATTCATTGCTATCGGGATGTTAAGAGCATTCCATGGAATATAACAAAAAGTGTATCTCAAGCCGGTTTCTCAAACTTACCTACCCCACCTTTAAGTAAAATATCTTAGTACTTCTTCCGCCTTGCATTTACCAATAACTGTTGTAATCTCAAACATGCAAGTCAATTCATCATCAGACTTTCTCTAATTTATGATCGTTTGCATCATTGTTTGCTTTTGTAATTCAGGTGGCGATGGAAAAAAAGGTCCAACGACCATGACCACACAAGCCATGGTTCCTGAGGAAAAAACGGTCACTACACCAACTCTAATAAGTGAGTTGAGATTGCTCATAAATATACAATATTCTATGTTGTGTTCAGGAAAAAGTGGATTTTATCAGTTTGACAGAAACATGTCTCCAAATGCTATCAGTTTCACCTTTGTTAGGTGCGACAAAACCAGCTTAGAACAATCTGGGTGATGTTATCACCCAGATTTTGAATCTTGAATCTAGGTGATAACATCACTGGTTTGTTTTAAGCTGGTTTTGTCTCCCCCAAGAGGTCAACAAATATGTGAATGCTGCTTTAAACCAATTTAATAAGTTATTGATAATGGATTGAATCTCAGAAGCTTTTCCTCCTGAATGTTTTATAACGGAAGGTTTCATGGACTAGCACTGCAGGTTTATACTTTATATTCAATGGCAAAATTTGATATAAACTTTTTCATATATAAATATTTTTGTTACAGAAATTCTTACAGAAATTCCCAAGCCAAAGCCAAAAGTCGCAGCAAGTGAGAAGACTGGTGAGTTACATTTAACTGCACGATAATAAATCACAATGTTCATTTGAGGTAACAACGATAGCCTACTGTGTTTAGTCATTAACCGTTGAAATATGTATTTGTGTGAGAAAATGTCTTCGTATTTATAAACATGACATGTTTCACCTCCTTCAGGCATTATCATCCTAGTTGTGATTATCCTTTTTGCTGTTGTATTTGGAGTTGCCTGCTACTGCGCACGGAGAAGACAAAGGGTAAGAAGGGTAGCCGTTTGTGTCCACTACCAAACAAAGAATATTTGACATTTTAGGAATTATGCTTATTTGCTTTCTTTCAAATAGCTTACTTATAATATGAATACCACTCTGAGTCTGACAGCAGTTGGATTCTTACAACATCAAGCGAGAATCACCAAGATCACTATCAAACCAAACAAACCATGTGGCGCTAGGTTAGCATAGCTTAGCATAGAGCATTGATACAGAGGGAAACAACTAACATAAAGCCTACTTATTAAAAACACATTATAGTTTGTTTGTTGAATCCACATAAACACTAGAATAGCCTTTATGTTATTTATTTACACATAGTTATTTACTGGACTGCAATTTTAGAGGGGGTGGCATACAGGTTTTCTCACCTTTACACAGAAGCAGGTTGGTTGTTTCCCCTTTGTTCCTGTCTTTACTTAAGCTAAGCTAACCAGCTGCTAGTGAGAATGTCTAATTAGTGATTCAGACAAGAAAGAGGTATCACTTATCACTTTTCTCAAATTTTTGAATCATTTCCTCAATTTTGTGGCAATATAGTGTGTTTCATTGTTTTCAATCTCCTCTTTGTACAGCGCCAATCTGTCGATTTCACTTCCAGACCAGATGATGCTAACATCCCTTTCAGCACGTTTGATGTTGATGCTGGACCTCACAACGGTCAGTCCAACATGCCATGTCCAAGTTTTCACAATGTATACAAAAATTAGCTTTGTAATCCAAACATATTGAGCTATGTAGGTTTAGATATCTTATGAATCCTATAAATATGCACTTTTTAGGTCTGCAAACCTTTGAAAGTACAGAAAGTACTACCAAAGAGCTGCAAAAACCAGAGGCTAAGCCTGAAGTACAGGAGGAGCAGACAGGTAAGAGTAAACCTCTGACTATCAGCGTTTTTTTGGTATTGTTGTATAAAGGAGACAAGAGAAACAGGACAGGACTTTTGTGTCAGTCGTGGAAAATGGAGTTGTGAAGTGTTTGTGAGCTAATTGGGTGTTATTTCCTCTTTCATAAATTCAGTTTAACTGAAAAGAAGAAGTAAAGTGTGTGAGTTCTCTAATCTAAATTAACACTGAGATCCTGTTAGATAGCAGTGAGATAGCAGGTACCATTTTTAAATATGAATTGAAAATGTGCAATGCTTCAATACAGATTGATTTGCCAGATTAATTAAAAAAATATAGACTAAATTAATGTTACATTTGATTTTAATGTCAGAAAATGTTGTTAGTAAATGAATTGATTGTGAGCTTTGTTGATGTGAATTTCACAGAAAGGATATCTTTAATTCTGTACAGGAGTCTGACTCACAAAAGGTTGAAAAACAACCACAGAAACATTTTGAAATGTCTGTGACGGAAAGTGTTTGCACAACTGAAACGCCTCTTCCTTACTTTGAGAGGAGAGTTAAACATGTCCCTTGCAGTACTCTCATCTAGCACATGGTGGAAATGGAAGCCAAGTTAACAAAGGTTGTTCTCAGAGCAAGAACTGCAGCTCAGGCCTCCTCCTACAGGTGTTGTTAAGCATGTGGTCAACCTGCCGTTGAAATGACCATTTGCTTTATAACCGGTTGCAAGCTATATCATTATATGTAATGAAAATTCTGATTAAAGCCTTTGTCCTTATGTAGCAGGTATTTAAAAAATCCAAACTTTTTGCTAACAGAGCAACATATTTGTGAATGAAGAGGATTAGTTCCTCTCTAAAGCCAAATCTCTTACCTGACATATAGTGACATACAGTGTAATATGGGCATGCTAATCATTGCTTATCCTTGTCTTAGTGTTCCTATGTTCCTCAAAGATGTCTTCCCAGGCTGAATTATAAAGGTAGAAGCTACTGTTCATGCCCAGGCTTGTCTCTCTGCTCTGGGCCACAACGTGTTTAAATGGACAGTGCTGCTGGCCTCTTTGAAAAGCAGTTACCTCAAATGGTGTTCTTCCTCTCATTGGAAAAAAATGCCTACATTTGTAAGCTATCAGAGCAGGTGGACAGCCAGATGTCTAATCATGCACCAGGGTTTGTTACTGCTGTTTGATTCATCCTTACGGCTAAGAGAAGAATCAGACTTGGCTGAGGACATCTGCTTGTCTAAAAGACTCAAACTCACTTGTTATGTCTCAAGTGTTTAAACTAGTTAAGAGAACGCTGAAGAAATGAGCAGAACCCTTTCCAAATTGTGGATTACAGAATCTCTGTGACAAGAATTGCCCTGCGCTTACCTTCTGCAACTCCTGCTGGACATTTTCGCGTGCAGTAAGACTGAAAATAACAGCCTCAACCTCACTTTACATCATGGAAATTCCCACCGCCTTGTTTCCTCATCCCCTTTAGTAAAAATAATAAAACTGTACAAAAAGTGTTTTTATATAGTAAATGTGATTGAAGTGTAATGAGCACCTTTTTGTTGTTTTTGAATCTTAAGTGGAAACTTGTTGAGTGTCTGTGACTTACTTCACTTCTCCAAACCACAGAATGACATCAGCATGAACATGGTGTCACAGGAAGAATATTATCACATCATGTTGCAAACTGATGACTCAATTAACTTAAAGGAAACAAAAGCAACATATCATAGTGGACTTTTATCCGGATAGAGTTTGCTTTTGCAGTTGTTGGTGATGGCACTAGGTACAAGTCAGGGGATCATCAGGTTATAAGGATATTTTTGTGGTGTAACTCCTTAAAAACTATGTATAGTCACTGCATCCAGCTGTTGTTCTCCAAGTGATAATTAGTGAGCTTTAGAGGCTGTTAAGCATTATTTATTCTAGTTCTTTGAAAGCCATGCTAGCAGTTTCCCCCTGCTCTCAGTCTTTAAAGGGACAATTACCCTCAAAATAAAAAAATACATATTTGACCTTTTACCTATAGCACTATTTACTATCTATCCACTAAAGATTGTTCAAGTTTGAGTTGATCAGTGTTGGAGATATCGGCCATATAGATATCCGCCTTCTCTTGGATATAACCGGACTACATGGCCCTTAGCTTATGGTGATCAAAGCGCCAGGAAAAGAGGAGAGATATACATTTTTTTAGGAGTAGACTGTCCCTTTAAGGTGAGGTATCTGCCACCTGGCTCCATCTTAGTACATAACATCAGAGCAATTTCAAAAATGTTCTTTAAAACATTTTTTAATGACTTTATACAACAAGTACCAACTACAGATCACATGTGCAGTCTGAGTATAAGGAGGAAGCTAAGCTGAGAGTCAGGTCAGGATCCACCTGTGATAAAGCGTCTAGTCATCCGCCGTAAACCACACAGACATGATGATTCTCCGAACATTGGAATGAGGCCTAAAGAGCCATCTTAGTCATGGCAAAATCATGTCTCGAACAGACGGTCACCTTCCTCTCCCCTTCATCCTCTTCATCTACGCTTTCTCTCCACCTAACCTCGGGTTAGATAATGATGGGGCCGCCCTACTTTCCCACAGCCTCCAACAGCTGCATGGCTGTGGCTCATTAGGAACTGGTCAGTAATCAGCCGCCTCATTACCAACATGGTGGCCCCCTCAAATGCCTTCGTCGAGAGAAATCTCCCCCCTGACAGTCGGAGAGGGCAAAACCACTTCAGGCTATGTGGGCTGCACACACTGTTATTATGTGGGTGCTAAGCACAAAATGCAGTGAACCAAATATCAAATGTGCAATGTCACACAAGATAAAATCTTGTTGCAACTACTTTACGCAATGAATGTATTGCAACAGTCTAACTTCCTATTGAAAAGGAATGTCGTAAATGCTTTTGTTTTTCAGGGTCTTCCATTATGTCTCAAGCTGGGTGTTATTTTACTAAATCATTTTAACTTATATGTTTCATACTGTAACTGTTTTCAGAGAAAGAAAAAGCAAGTTTGCTTTTTGTTGTCCTTCACAGCTGAAGCTGATAAATCTGTTGATGATCCCGGCGAGACTGCAGCTCTGGTTCCTCCTCCAGGCAGCGCTGAGGACAAACCCAAAGAGGAAGCTGTTGAGCAGAGTCCCCCTCCACCTGTGGAGCTGAGTGTGGAGGAGAAAACTGATGACGAGGGCGTCGTCTCCAACAAGACCTCTGTGGAATCGCTGAAGGAGACAAATGAGAACAACAGCAACAGTGCTGACTTCAGTCAGAAGAAAGGTTGGTATTTAAAGTTTGTCATTGTCATTCCTTGTACTAACTGAGACACAAAGATTAGAAACATCGACTTATCTGCAGATTATATGATATGTCTTTATTTAATAAGGATTGAAAGAAGCAGTATCCCATACTGTACTGTTTTGTTTGGTGGTTAAGAAACAAAGAACCCAAACTCAAGGAGTACACTTGAGAGCTTCGAATTGATATCAGACATTGAATATTTGTTGAAAGTTACGGCCGGAGAATTGACGGAGGCATTTGCTGAGACACCGAGTGACACAGACCCTGCCCAAACCAACTCTGAAGTTCTCTTCCCCTGTCCCTCATACGTAATCACTCCCAATTCATAATCAAAATTATACTAGAAGATGCTGCACGTTGTGACCGTCCAAGAAAAGATTGTTTCATGGTCATGTCTAAGACACAGCTGTGGTGGCAGCCCAAGTCTGCGTGATCATACCGGTAGAAACAACTCTCCAAAGGCCGTTTGCCTGAGCATGTGAAGAGAGGATTGACAGGAGATGTAAAGGCTAAAATAATTAAAATAAAAAACTAGAGGCGAAATAAATATATTCCTCATCAATAAGAACATACAATTAGGCAGTCTTTCACTCTTTCTAGGCATATTGTGTACAACTTCTGCAATTGCTTGGAAGAATAAATTAGTACGTGACTATTGATTCTCAACACGGTGTCGAGTGATATTTTCCTAACAACAGTCATCGGCAACATCAACGATACAAATGTAGCAATCCGGTGCAAGATCATAAGCACGCATCCAAGAGGAAGCAAGCAAAAATGGTGTACACAAAAATAGCAAGGCTAGAACCCTAACTCTCGATGAACCTTGGAGAGAGGGACACATTTGAACGATGTGTTTACAAACCGCAACTAACAAATCCTACTCACTGCACCCATATTGGAGATAGTACATGCTGTAACTTCTCCTTACTGGCTGTAACATGACTTGGTGGTACTATTGATTGACTAACTCTTACTGTAAAATGTGAAGAAACTAATCAGATCACATTGCAAACTTTACATTTGTTTTGGGGTTTAACATCATAATAAACATTTGTAAACACCCTTGCTTCTTTCTAACAGATTTGAAGAGAAACAACATCGTCTGGGACATTCCTCTCGAGTGTCCGGTGTGAGATATCCACCTCTCTGACCATGTGCCGTTCTTCAGGAAATCGGTAAGACTCACAAAGTGGCCAAACGCTCTGCTGCTGCTGCTGCTGTGCTGCTCAAACAGCTCAGGTGTTCATAAGCAAAAGAAAGAACATCATGCAATGCAGGTCTGCAGACCTTATTTACTGTGCAGGAGTACAGCTCCCTTCCTGAATTAAGATATTAAAAATAGAGAAGCTATTGCCAGTGTGCGCATATCCGTAAAACTGTAAATCAAATTGACAGTGTGGCGTCCAGTAGTTTATTAATACACGATGAAAGCTGCACCCATAAACTGAGCCTCCCTGCCTGTTCAAAATGTCAGTATTACAACATAAATATATCATTCAAACGTTTTATTGCTTTTATAGTTAATTAGTTTGATTTGATTTGTGTGTGTTACGTACCTTTTAGTTCTGTCAGCAAGGACATCATCTCAAGGTCCACTTAAAAGCTTATTTCATGTTTTAACTATGTCATGTTCTCCATCTTCATTATGAGGTGGGCAAAGCTCGGCGTTTAGGTGATGACACATGATGACAACTGAGCAAACTCAATCCACCGATGAAGTGGACATTGAGTTTAGTTTTCTTTTATTTAAAAGTAATATGTAACCATTCTGCACTTCAATGTCAGAAATTAGTAGGTATTTTTTCTCTCGTTATCTACTAAAATCATCCCAAATATTTATAACAATTAAAAAACTATTTTCATTCAATCTTTTAGCTCATCTATAAAAAAGCAGTTGCTCCAAACCTCCTCTGGTTCCTCCTGCTCTGTCTGCCACTGATGGAGGAGATTCCTCTCACACGAGTACTAACACGGGTCCTCTCAGTCTTATCATCATGTGCTTGAGGATGTAAGGCTACATCTGCACCTGCACTGCCTCTCTCTTCCTATCTGCTCAGAAACACTCAGGGCCAAAAGCTTGAGGCCCGAGGAATTCACACCGCTCTAAACAGCTGATGATAAGCTCACATCTGAGAGGTGTTAGCTGTCACGGATCATCTCCGCTCGCACAAAAACACCACCTTCAGAAATCCTAAGCATCTCATTTGAATTCTCTCTAAATACCTGTGCACGTAGAGATTCTTCAAGCTATCTAAAAGGATAACTGTGACATCAAATGATAATATGAATTGATATTATTGATAGATCTGTGATGTGATCATCAGCTGACAAAAATGTCACTAGAATATGTGTTTAAGTACTCCTTTGATACAGCAGATGTTTTGAGTTGTCATAGTAGGAAAAGCAGAGGTGTTACCGATAACAATAACGATGGCTCTCCTCTATGAAGTGTCTCATTTTCAAAGTGTGACAGTGAGCGAGAATTCACAATACCAGGACCCTGAAACAGAAGCATCTGCAGGGAAATTATCCATCATTCCTCTGATATTTGACACCTTACTACTGTTACAGAGGCCCTATTATGCTCTGTGTGGTTAAACCTTTCCTGTAGTGTGTTGTATAGGTTTGTGTGCATGTAAATGGTCTGCAAAGGCTAAAATCCCAAAGTTCCCTTCAGACAGAGTTTCTCTCCCACACACCCTACCTGAAACGCCTCCATTGGACTCCTGTTTTCTTCTGTAACATAGTGACATCATTACATAACACTAGCACTTCTATTGGCTAGCGCTCCAACACATTGTACATGATAGGTTAAAAGGGCGGGAAATCTCTAAATTGTTGACCAATCACAACAGAGCTGGTCAGCTAACCAATCAGAGCAGACTGGGCTCTGGTTTCAGACAGAGGGTGAAAAGAGGTGCTGCAGAAAGGCAGTATGAGAAAAATAAAGACTTTTGAACATGTCACAGTAGAGACACTACATACGAATATGAACCTGAAAATGTGCATAATATGTCTTCTTTAACATGAAAAAAGCTAAATCTAGTTAGGCAACAACATTACTATGATATAAAAAACATCATTTTTTGCCTTAAATTACTCTTTCATTAGTTATCATGTACACATTGTTTAATAGAATGGTATCTAGATGTGGCAATACTCCTTTACTTGCCCCAAAGCTTAATATCAGTAGAGACACATACAATTATAGAAGGTGGATGAACTCACATTTATCTCGAAACACAACCCAAGGTTATTCGAAAGCAGAATTTTTTTTTTTTTAACCTTTGTCTCAGGTATTTGGTGCTCTCTAATAATAGTATTAGTCTGCCTTCAAAATAACACAGTAAACACATGTTGTAAAACAATAAGTTACACAATTTGAAAGAGACATAAGAGAAAAGGAAAAAGTGAACACTCAACTCCTTCCCACCTGGTCTGGGAAGTGATGAGAAAGCTGGACACTGAAGTTGAAAGGCTACTCACCATTCTGCAGTCGTGGATAATGGATATTAGCTGACAGGTCATAAACTAAACCAGCATAATTAGACCTGAGACCGCACTGTGTTATTTTCCAGTCAGAGCCCAGCTTTCATGTTTGATGGCTAATGTTGGAGGAAACAGTCTGTCGGCCTGGGATGAGTATTTCACAGCAAAGAGGAGACAGGTGAAAGAGAGTGACAAAGGTAGATTTAACTGTGAGAGACAAAAAAGGTGAGTAGTTAGCTTGAAGCAACTTGTTTTATTTGCAGCAGCTCTTCTTGGAAAGGGGCTTCTGGTTCAGAGACAGGTCATGGAGCTGAGGAGGGTCCCAGACCTGAAGCTGAAGATTATATTCTTGTTACCCATCAGGCATTAGGATCATAAAATAGACCTTATTCTCTCCCATTCATTGATGTCTCCTTGGGCGAGATACTTAACCCATAATTGGTACAGATGACATGGCCAACGGTGTGTGAGTGTTTGTGAATGTTAGTTCTCTCGAGTAGATGGCACCTTATACGGCCGTCTCTGCCTCTGTGAATGGGTGAATGCTGATTTAAAGTGGACCTATCATGCTATATTTGAATAATATAGTATAGGACCATACCTATGTAAGGCATATTTATACTTTTTTTTCCTTCAAAATACCAAACAGATCATGCATTTTAGCCATGCCTCATTTTGTTCAATTTGAAATTTTTTAGCTCTGTTTTTGCAAGGGCAGATTCAGTGAGAACAGCACCACCTACAGGCCTGGCATATGTACTACAGCGTCTCCAGCGCTTTCGAACGGCAATGGCCGTGGCTGTCTCCTCCTGATTGGTGGAGTTGTCCCAATAGCCGTAGCGCCACTGTCCTGACGTCAGGACAGTGTTCAAATCTGGATCAGTTTTGATCAGATCCGTTGCAGCCCCTTTTTTAGAGATTTGGGTATGGAGGAAAATAGAGAGGGTTGTGTTTTCTGACACTTGGTGAGTTCCCTGGAACACCGGGGACACATATTCATGTATAAAAGACGTACAAAAGTGCATTTTGCATGATAGGTCCCCTTTAAGTTCTGTATTGTAACTAAGTATATTTACTTAAGAACTGTACTAATGTACAATTTTGAGGTACATTTACTTTACTGGGTTTAAGTAGGTTAACACATACGAGGAATTTGCCATGGTGTATTTGGTGCATACATAAACACAGTAAAGGAGATAAAATGTAAGAAAAGGACCATAAAATAAAACAAGAATAGGAGCTCTTCCCTGGTGAAAGAGATCGACGTTCTGTATGTAAACGCACAAAACAACACATTAAAGAGCGCACCAAAACACCAGCAGCAATCATTTATGGTGCTTTAAGTATTTTTTTAATGTTTATACTTTTGTACTTGAGTAAGATTTTGAATGCAGGGCTTTCACATGCAGCAAAGTATTTCTAAACTGTGGTATTTTACTTAAGTAAAAGATCTGAGTACTTCTTCCACCACTGTTTAAAATCGTAACATGCATTTACCTTAAACAAAAATGTATGATTTAAACATCTAATTTGACTCTTCAGATTTTTCTCTCCCGCTTTCCAGTCATAGCAGAAGTAGTAATTTCCTTGTACGACATTGCAGGTGTAAAACCCAGATTAATGGGTGTGCACGATGACAATGGTGCATGTGGTGAAGGCAGGATCGGTATCTCAGTAATAACAGTGAAGAGGAGCTTCCTGCTGGTGAGGTTTGATGTGGTTCAGACCTGGGCAACTTTACAGGAGGGAGGGCACTGTCGGAAAACGCAGACTGAAGAAAACAGCTGGTGGAGGCTGGCTCTGCCCCTTCCTCTCAGGACTTCCTACCACAAAACATCAAGTTTTGGTCCAGAAATTGAAAACGTTGAAAAGTCGTAAAGGTAGCTATTAGTCATGGATCATTAGAGGGCTTTGTCTGGGGTATGTGCAGTACATGCAGTTTTGAGGCTGTGTGTCATCACTTGTTTCCTGTGAAGATGTTTCTTTTTAACTTAAATTATTTAAAGTAGCTTTATTATAGATGGAGAAACGTTTCTGTTGTATTGGGTTTACAAAATGGATTCAAAATGTTCAATTCATAAGTGTGAAATATATATATTTCTTACAAACAAGGTCAATTACACCCAAAGTAATGTAGACATGTAGATATGTGCTTGCAGCTGAAAGTGCAGAGGGGCTCTTTGATGGCCCTTCATGTTACTTTATTCAGCGTTTATAGCACCTGGAAAGCATAATGTCAAGCCCTTAATGCTTTCAAGTTGACTCAACAATAAGTCAGTGTCATTCAGCATTAAGATAAGAGGATTAGTCACAGAACAGTGAAAAGTGTTTCCTTAAGCAGTGTTCTTGAGTAAATACGACCTTAAAGACCAAGATAATTTGATAATCACTAGTTTCATAAATAAACTTCACATGTAGCGTTTGATTGTATTCTCCTCAGTGTTTTGGGATATACAGTCATACTCTCACACACACTTTCATCCTGGCAAACACACATCAGCAACCATTCATTAGAAGATGCATTTGGTTTGTTTAAGTTAATCACTGTCAACTAACAAAGCTCTGTGAGATGATATACAGAAACTTTAATGTATACTTTACATAAAAGAGTTATTCATACAAGTCACATTTACAACAAAATAAATAGAAAGGAAACTAGAAATGAGTATACTGAAGAGGCGGTTGGTGTGGGAATGGTTTTGGACAAGATGCACAAAGGGTCACTGTCACTTGTTAAACCTGCAATAAGGAAAACATTTGTAACAGTCATTCCAGGCATACAAGGGACCCTTAACAAACAACACATAAGGAATAAATCTGTCAGTGGACTTTGGCCTTTGACTTCTGAGGAGGCCATTCCCTTTAAAGTCCTGTCAATATATAACAAACACCGCAAGGACACAAATTGTTGTTTTCTTAACAAATTAGATTAGTTTGTTTTGAACATTGAAAGCCTTATGAGGCCACAAGATTAACATTTTCTTGTGTTTGAATGACTGTATGTTCACCTCACACGTTTGCTTCCCGTCTCCTGCCTCTATTAAAACCATAGGCTGTGTGCTCTTCCTGCTTTGCTTCCTTGACCTGCAGAGGCTTCTGGGTGAAGTTCTTTCCAAGGGTCACAGGTCAGACAATCCTAATTAAAGGGTTCACAGTGACTGCAGGAGAATAATGTGTCCTCAATGTCAGAGTCAACTGGCCCACATTCTTGGCCTGTCCTTTAACAAGTCTCTGCAGAATTTGATGTGCAGCGGCTGCTGTGATGATGTGTGGAGTAAACCAGGAAACATTTCAACAAAGACAGTTGCACATGACAGGACCTGACGAAAATGAAAACAATATTTCTGAAAAACATCAAGGGAAACATGAAACATTGCTTACTGTCAGGCCTAAATGTCCCTTTACAGTAGTTTTATATTGCACTCTTAATATGTTTTTCTGAACCAAAATGCTTAACAAAGACAGACATACAGTAGGCATACATATATTTGCATGTGAAAATGAAAATAGATTAAAGAAATGCTTAAAAACTCATTAAAACCAATGTTTATTCGAGAACCATTTAAAAAAAAAAACTTTATTCAAGTTGATTTCTTTACACACGCAGGTGTTTAGAAGCAAGGTAAAGCGAGTGGTCCCTTTTCAAATCTTACTTGTACTTTCCCTGACCACCATCCTTATATTTTAGGACATGTCCAATTATGCCAGGCCTTGACCTTTCCTATTTACACTATAGGCATTTTACAACTGGAGTGTCACATTTTCTAGATTCTTCCTTTGTACTCCAGTCCATACTTTGGCAGGTGCCATGCAAAACATTTATTGGGCTTAATTTACACCACGCCGCACCACTCTCAAAGAAGTAAAACGGGGGATGGTCGGGGTCACTTATAGTGAAAACAATTTGTAGAGATTACAGAAATAGATTCAGCACGATGTAGTCACAGCGGGGTAGTTGGTAACCATCACACCCTCGACATTTTGTGATTTATTAAACGTGTTGCCTCTATTCTTCCTATTGCTTTGTTCTTTTTTGCAATTCTCTGCGAGCAAAGACTTTGGTTAGAACTTATCATCTGTTAACAAGCTGACATATTTCCTAACAATTTGCTAATTGTCACTTAACACAAAATGGGACTAAGGCTGATGGGAAGGTCGTTAGTTTTGCAGATTTGGTTATAACCGAAAGTATTGAACACATTTTGGGCCAGTCCTTCAAGCAGATCAAATAGAAAATCTATTTGACTGAATAAGCAAAAACTTCTATTCTTCTAGTAGTCACCAGAAGAAAAATCCATAGTTACTATAACTCACCCTTTACAAACCGACTGATCTACCTAGCAACAAGCCATCCCAAAAAAGATAGTTTGCTTAAAAAAGATAAACACAGTAGGAAAATGCAAATGCTTTCATGTCCATGTGCCAAGATCCCCAAGCAGCTGACTCTCAATGACCTGCAGCTCCAAACCCCATGAGGTCTGCAGTTGTAGGGACAGTTTCCTCTCATGTCGGCCTCTCTCCAGGCCGGTTTAGACATTCCTGGCCGGGCTTTGTGCAGTTGGCAGCGCTGCTGATCAGGAGGCCTGCTGACAGACGGACCTTCATTCACCTGCTGGTATCGCCTCCGGCATCGACTCCACATTCCTCAGGCAGTGTCAAACTGTCAGAGTAACACCATGGCTTTATAACATCGCCGTCTATCATCTTTCACACACAGTTTAAACATTAAAGTAAACTCAGGTGATATCTCAGGTGATGCGGAATGCAAATTCCCCCCAAAAGTTCAAACTTCCTTAAAAGTTTATCCTTAACTTAATTTCCTTTTGGTTTGAACTTGATGTGGAAACCTTCATGAGGAAACAGTGAATAATGGTTAGGTCTGTTTCTCTTTTTACACATATGTATTTAAAATAACAATAAAAAAAAAATACAGTTTACAATTTGTAAGGGAATGTGAACGTCATCAAAGTTCAAAGCAACACAAACAAATTTGCAGGTTTCTGAAACTATGCATCATAATAAATTGATTTTGCCTGAGCAGTTTGATATTACTGATGCTGGAGTGACCGGCTCTTAAAGGTAGGGTAGGTAAGTTTGAGAAACCGGCTCGAGATCGCTAGAATTTGAAAATACACAACCGGAGACAATCTGCCACTTCCTTATAGAGCCCCTCCTCCAACACACACGAACGCGCACATGACCAATGAGGGCACGAGATAAGTTTGTGCACAGATGGAAGGCTGACAGGCAGGTAGGCCATCCAGTTATTTTAGCCAGGCCGGCTAAAATGATTGGTCGTGCTTTTTACAGTACTACGGCTTCCACAGATGATATTTTTTAATGGATTTTTTGTCAAAGCACTTAAGATATTCATTGCTATCGGGATGTTAAGAGCATTCCATGGAATATAACAAAAAGTGTATCTCGAGCCGGTTTCTCAAACTTACCTACCCCACCTTTAAGCTGCCTACTTGCTTATATTTTTGACCCTTATACAAACTCTAAACTAACCCTTTTTCTTGTCACAATTCATCAATTGAACATCAATCTTCATGTCGCTTTTTGCTTTCAAAAACATCCCTCATTCTAGATCAGCAAACTTAACCTTGGAGTAATCAATCCGTCAGATCTGATGCAATTTATCGTTCCAGTTGTTTGGACTTCTGCTTTTGTGTACGCCCCTTGACATTTCAATAGGCCCAATAACAACATTTATCACCTCACAATACACATGCAAGTTCAGTTCTGTCACAGATCACCCAGATGTTTTGCTGCGGACATTAAAGTGAAATCAAGATTAAAATGTCTAACCTTTTTCCTCCACATGGGGCTCTTAGGAACATCTTGTATTCTGAGATGCCAAATTAAGTAAAAGAATACACAAAATAACTTATTGAAGCTAAAATGTTTTTCACAAAGTATGATTGTTTTAACTGAATGGCATTTGTATAGTTTCCTCTACGTGGGTGACTGAAAAGGAATAACATCCTTACATGGGATTCAGTTGAGCATTTTCTTGCACAATACCAAATCCCTTGTGGAATGCCCCATCTTTCAGCAGCAGGGTTTCACTTTAGCGGCTAACTAGGCTCCACAGATCCCTATCTATCCCTGTGGCTAAACTCAGCATAGCTGTATAGACTAAGATCAATGCAGAGTCTTACCTGCAACCTGAGCCTCAGTGGTCACATTACTGGCCTTAAACCAAACTCCTTTATATTGGATGCAGTTCAGATTAACTCGGGTCAAATCTGAGAGAACAAAACTCCACTTTGAAATATACGATTTGGCTTGAATGATTGTCAAAGTGCAATAGAGCGGTTAAGTGCCCTGAATCCTGTTGAAAGAATCAGCAGGTTGTTTTTAATTGACGGCTCCTGAGAGTAAAAAGTACCAGAAATAGCAAATTATGCATTTATTTAGACAACTACTTGGAATTCCACTTTAAAATATACAATGTGGCTTGAATGAGTGTCAAAAGAGCAGTTACATGCCATTAAATATATTGAAGGGATCAGCAGTGCTTTTTGAATGGAGGCGTGTGAGAGTAAAAAGTAACAGAAATAGACAATTTTATATTTATTTAGACAAATATTTGGATAGGTCTAAAGATCCTCCCTGTCCTGCTTTCACGTAACGCTTTTGCATCCTAACCTAATGTTAAGCATAAATCGCATCAACAGATGTGGAGCATGATTGTCAGGTGTCTTTTCCTTCTAACAGATGTTTCTCTGTGGAGGTCAAAGGCCATGGCAAACGCCACATAAACATGACCAAAGCAGAAGTTACAATAGGAAAAAGCAGGTGATTGCAGGACACAAGTCTGTGGGACAGGAATCATGGTTTTCATTGTTCTGTGCATTTTTTTTCTTTTTCAGATTGACGCAGTGGCCGCAGAGGAAAAGGACATGTCGTTAAAACATCTTATTGGCTGTCATCTCCTCCTTACACTCACATTTATTTTTTACAGAGCAGCTTTTTCAAAGTAAGTAGCAGCTGAGCTCAGCTTTTTGAGTGTTTTACTGATAGCTGAATTTCTGTATATTACAAAAGGTCAACATTTACTAGATGTATCTTGGGTAAAAAATATTTACCATTTATAAACAGAAAACAAGTGGTTGATAACAATATGATGTTATGGTAATGGATTTAATGCCCCTATTACTGCTAACAGCAACAGTATCCAGCCAGCGTTAGAAATCTTATTAAATCAGTGTTATCTACTTATAAATACCAAAAAGGAAAGTAAACTGTTACTGGTACAACTTCACAATATGGTACAAATTGTTTTTATGGTGTTATTAGTGATTATGAATAGTTTTAAATATTGTATTGTAAATAAATAAATGCTGTTATAATTCAATGTAAGTGTAAATACAAGCCTTGGCATATTGTATTCACTGCCAGCTCCTTAGCCAAAGACTTCTTTAGTGTGGACTTTTTTTTCTCAAAATAACTTTTGGTATGTATTCATAAAGTATATATAAATAATAACAATATAAAAGTACATAAAGAAGACGTGTTGAGGACTTTCATATTTAAATATAGTTAATAATGTTCTTGAATCAACTTAATATGTTATTTTTGTAGATGCTATATTTTGCTTTTCCATGGCATTCTAATTGAATTGTATTAAAGTTTTCATTGTCTTGAAACATTTCTGAAATGTTCATGTCCTTTGAATGTATTAAAGAAAAGTATTTTAAATGTCTCCCACATGTTTCGGTCATTATTTACCATCAGATTGTGCATAATAGTTTTGAACAATCTTGGTCTCTGAACAAAATAAATTCTTACCAACCAAATTAATGATAAAAGTGACACCAAAATAACTTTATAAACATCCCATAAAATCATGTAAGTTTTATAAATGTAAAAAAGATATCCTCATAACTTTTCATCCATATGTTATTGACGTGAGAAAAAAAATGTGTCAATAAGAAATTGTTATTTCCACCCTCCAGTTGCTTCCCTGCTGACTTTTACCAACTGTAATTTTAAATCGCATTCGACTCCTTTTACTGTAAGTGCAAACATGATCTCCAGGTGCAAACACATTTAGTTCAAAGTGACAGTGTTAAAAGACAGGAATCCTCCAACATTGTGCTGCACCCATTCAGGGGTCAGTATCCAGCTTTCTGATTTAGGAACCCGTGTCTAGTAGTAGACGAGTAGTAAGGTTGTTTATGGTGCTAATTAAACCTTAAACTGAGGCTTAAAGGATGAATCATATTTTTATGGAGCTATTTGTTGCATTTCGTTCCCTGGGGTTAAGATGAAAAAGCCTGCTATTTAACACACAATAAAGCCAAATTAACTGCTGTATGGGGTTTCCCATTACTTGCCTATATATATATGGATATATACTCCTGTTTAATTTCACAAGCCTTATAATATTTTTATAATTTCCATGTACAGTGTTGTGTTGCCCAGCATTTGGGTCTGATCCAGCAGCTATATCGAGCCTGTTTCCATGGGCTTCCGCTCTCCTTTAAAGTCTAGCGAGACTACCGGCCTATATCAATCAGCCTGCAGGATGCTTTAATCCACCATTAAGCAGATGAAATGTTGCACTGAGCCTGCGGTGCAGCAGTGACGGCAGGAGCGGATCTAAACATTTTGGGCGTTCCCCTCAAACCTGACCGCAGTCATGGACACCCTGTACCAAACCATCCAGAGCAGCAGAACACAAACCTGTTCCTCCTCGGAACTAGATCCAAATGTCTCAGGTCTCAGTATCCTCTATTTATACGCTGTGTATATTTACAACAGGCCGGATGATTAGGATGCTAGCAAGAAGTGAGGAGAATGTAGGGGCAATCATCTTTGGCTATTCTAAGGAGAGAAGAAGTTTATCAGGGGTGAGCCCCCTCTCGGATGTCAGTTTGTTTTCTCAAAATCTAAGAGTACTTCCCTGAGTTATTGCAGATATTTTTCAGTTGCCCCTTCAAAAAATATATACAATTAAAAAAATGCTTGTAAGGAGCACTTATTTGAGTTTTTAAGAAGTACACTTGAGGATGAGGGTACATGTAGAAATAAAAATCACAAGAAACCTTCATCAAACTATCTTTTTGAACCATTAAAATGCCCTTCTTGTTAAACTATATGTAACAGTATTTATGTTTCTGTTCAGTAGAAAAGCTCTGATGCTGCAGACCTTTACCTGCACCTACCTACAGCCTCTGTATTGTCTCCAGGCACAAACACACATATTTTGACAGTGATACACATCCACAAGTGTCCTGCACAGCTGGACTGAGCTGTTCATCAGCTGTATGAAATGTCAAGATGCTCTCGAGTGATAACGTTCAGAATGTGAAGAATGATGATAAAAACTGTTTTGAAACAGGAAAACATCCATTAAACCTTCTGTCAGTGTGCTAAATTGTGGAATGTTGCAATGATTTAGGTTTAAAAAAAAAGTCTGTGCTTTTTCGAAAGAAAAACATCAAATAAATTGTCTGAAGATATCATTATTTATTTATTTTTTATAGTTTTATACTATGTCAAAGAAAAGTTACAGTTTATATCAGTTATCACTTTGCATATATTTCTTATTTACAGCCTGTGATACATTGTAGCCTAATAAGTAACTGCATTTGATTTTAGCACAATTTTTTTTTGATCTTAGATAATTCCTCGTTTTGTTTTAATGCTGTATTTCTTTTTTGCTTGACACTAAGCCATGTTTTTTTTTAGTTCAATTAATGGGCACATCGGTGAGTGGAGCTAAATCTAATGTATGATAACATTTTCACAATAACAATGCTAATATAATGATGGTTAGCAAGTGTAATGTTTGGCAGGGTTACTATTAACGTTAGCATGCTAATGTTTGTAAATTACCACTTAACACAAAACAGCAAACTGCTTGGCATACACCAGTGATAAACTAAACTACAGAACACATTCAATTATGATGGAGCTTGTTATAAAGCTAAAACCATAAATAAGTGAAAACAAAATTGACATACAATATTTTTAAGTTGATGAGGCTAACTAGCTAGCTAACATTTGCCCCATTACACGAGTAGCCGTCGATTCGTGTTTGTGTCCAACTGATGACTGTAAGTAGTACAATAGCCTATTCACTCTCTTTTAATGGGAATATCTGACTCTTGAAACTGCACCTCGTTGTCCAGCTAGCTGCTCATTGTGTGTGTCTGTTGTATCCAGGTTGTATCCGAGTGTAGGCCTAGGTTATTGTTTTACTGAAATGCTACCTGTTGGGCCGAAAACGGCTATGACAGGAGTGAAAGTGAAACAAAAACAGTGAAGGTGTAGGACAGACAGTCTTACAATACTGGAGAGCTGGATCTCGATGTGGCTTTATCTTGACAGACGTAACAACTGCATCAAGAGGTAAGAAAGCAAGTATTTTCTTCTCCCTCTGTGGCTGTTAGGGATACAGGGACGGGATGCCACTTGGGCTTTATCTATCTATCATAGGGTCATTACCGCCTGCTGTCATCATTAGCTGCCCTCTGGATGAAGAGTTGATCCTTGGCAGCAAGGACTGGCTTTGACAGTACTTCTCTCTCTGTTTACCTTGGACGTTCATTAAAAGGCATGTCATGTCTTTGATATCTAAACTAGACAAAGTCAAACTAATGGCTTAATGAATGCCATATGCAGCTGGAGATCAGTGTGTTTAGAAGATGTTATGATGAAGAATGCTAATTCTTTCTCTATTAACAGATATATTAAAGCTGGAAAGGTACTGCATATTGATTTACCATATGGCTCAGGAATAGCATTTTCATAATTCTTAGTTCATGGGTTGTGAGATCTTGCCGTACACTTCTTCTAGGAAGAATGTGAGTGAAATCCAGGAGTAACAGAGTAAAAAAAAAAGCTTAGTGTGTTTGTTTCTATAGTTACACCCAGTGGTTTATGTGTCCCCGTTTTTATTCTTGGCTGGTCAAGTGAGGAGGTCAAGATTTATTTAGAGGATGCAATGAAGAGTGTGATACAGAATGCCTGGATGCATACGGCATCTCTGCTATTTGGTCCACGCTCCAGGAAAGGTTGCTGAGGGGTTCACAATGTTTTCCTAAAAGCATTACCATGTTAATCAAGTCAATCGATACACAGAGGAAGTTTAATATAATAATTGTTTAAAGTTAAGTATTTACATTATAAAATTTGACTTTTATTAACTTCCTGAATGTTTCAGTTGTTTACAGGATAATTAACAACTATGATATTAGCCAAATTAATTGATCAAATGTATCCAGCTTCAAAGTAATGTATGACCCTCGACTCGTCTGTTGATAAAACTTTAAAAATATTTAAAAAAATGGCAACCATTGCGTTTAAAAGAACTGTGAAAATGTTTGAGCAATGCACAAGGATCACTTCATCGAGTGTCAGGCCAAACTCAAAAGATGATCCATAAAAGGCTACTAGGTATTTTTATCTTAACATGACCTTGTGCACCATACTGAGTACACATTCTCACATTCTCACTTCATACAGTATGACTGCTTGATTTCTTCATGCTGTGCTGTGTCACTGTTAATGCAGAAAAAAAACATTAAATTCAACTTAATATATTTCACAGATCCTTGCTAAAATAACATTATAACATTTATTTACTGTGTCAGATTTTTTTTAAATGTTGGCAAACTAAATATCTGCCATTATAAATTATATTTAATTAGACCCTGTAATAATAAAGGAGGGGCTTTCCAATATTGGATACTACAAGGTTTAAAAATGGAATTGCAGATAGAGAACCCTCTTAACAAATCTTAAGAACCTGAGCAGTGTGTGAGCAGTGTTGTCTTTTCTCTGTGTGTGTGTGGGACCAAACAGAGTCCATACACCTGTCCTGCCAGCTGATGTCAGGTTATTGTGCCTCTCTGTGGGTTATGGCCTCTCCGGTGCCTAAATGTCCCTCGGAAAACGACCTCAGAGGCACTCAGCCACATGAGAAGAACACAAAATGTATGGTTATAGTAAACTTTGCCTTTTGTGATTATGGAAACCTGTGGAAGAACTTAGAAATTGTGCCAAATATGTTGAATTTTCTGTATGCTAAACTAGATAATTTGCAAAAGAATTGAGCTGGATCAATTATTGAAAAATAACACAGTACTTAAATGACATTGTGCATACCACCCTTAATGTGAGAAGATGGGTTGTGCACTGCTGAATGACACAGTAATGGTGCTGTGATACAAGATTAGCATGCAACTCGACACTTTGATGGTAATGTATAAGTGATTGCTTACTTAATTCACATATAGTTCCGGTCTTAAGTGCCCTCGTAAGCAGTGTGTGAAATCACACAGGTCAATGATGATACATAAGAGCATATAGCTTACTTACAAATTGTCTTTTAAACCAACTGTATAGATACTCGACCAGAATCAACTACATACAAAGCAAAGTGTTTATTGTCCACAAGAATGACTGTTAATTGCATTATATATTTAACTTCATCAAACCTCTCCTATTTAGTTCAGAGCATTTACCCATTAGAGAACCATGCATTAAAAAAATATATAGTATGACGTTTTCTGCTCAATTACATTTGTATGGACACAGTCATTTTCAAAAGTAAAAGCAGAAAAGATCAGTTGACTTTTAGAAATAAAGAAGGGGGTGAATCAGATAATACCATAAAACACAAAGTTTTTCTGCAAATGTATATGATACATTATTATAAATTGCCAAATGTATCACATTAAATTAAATGTACAA